TTTTTTTGTAATCACTCGGAAATCAATGAACATGCTTCGTTTTATTTAGTGTATAGTGCTAAATACAGAGAAAACATATACATCACCAATAGTTTGTTTTTTTTTTTTTTTTTTTTTTTTTTTTTTTTTCTCGGTGGCCCTGACCCAACAAAGAATTTTTTTTTTTTTTTTTTTTCTCGGTGGCCCTGACCCAACAAAGAATTTTTTTTTTTTTTTTTTTCTTCTCTGTGGCACTGATCCACCAAAGAATCTTTTTTTTTTTTTTTTTTTTTTTTTTTTCTGGGTGGCATGATCCACCAAAGTTTTTTTTTTTTTTTTTTTTTTTTTTTTTTTTTTTTTTTTTTTTTTTAACTTTAATCATTACTTCCCAACATCATCATTTCATTTTACTTTATTTTATTATTTTTTATTATTTTATTTTATATATATATATTTTTTATTATTCTTTTTCTTCTTTCGGTGGATTGATCCACCAGAGTTGTTTTTTATTTTTTTTATATATATATATTTTTTTTTTTTTTTACTTTTTATTTTTTTATTCTTTACTTTCATCATTACTTCCCAACATCATCATTTCATTTTACTTTATTTTATTATTTCTTATTCTACATTGTCGTTTTTTTTTTCTATATAAAGAACCTCTGGTGATGAAGAAGGAAGAGGCTGTGGGTGAAAACCCAGGCCGAGTCCGAGAGAGAGAATGCGGAGGATCTTTGGGTGTGAGTTGACAAACTTTGATTTTGTCAAGCACATTCAAAGGCAGCAGCAGAGGCAAGCAGACGGATGAGATCTTTGGGTGTGAGTTGATAGACTTTGATTTTGTCAAGCACATTCAAAGGCAGCAGCAGAGGCAAGCAGACGGATGAGATCTTTGGGTGTGAGTTGACAGACTTTGATTTTGTCAAGCACATTCAAAGGCAGCAGCAGAGGCAAGCAGACGGATGAGATCTTTGGGTGTGAGTTGACAAACTTTGATTTTGTTGATCACATTCAAAGGCAGCAGCAGAGGCAAGCAGACGGATGAGATCTTTGGGGAAGAAATCGCGCATTGTGATGGCAACGGACGATCTTGATGTCATCACTTCATCATCCTCAACACTTTCATGTAGCTTTGAAGGTTGACGGTAGCTGCTTTGCCCCCTTTCCGATTGGTGAACTTGTGGAGGAGACCTATGTTTCTTGTGCATTTTCTTTGGAGTGACATAAGTCCATCCTTCAACTTCACTTGACTTGACTGACATGGTTTTGGAGCATGCCCCCAGCGGTTGAGGTGAAGATTTTGAGTTCAAAGAGCCAGAAGTGACGGTGGTATAGTTTGACTTCACCACATCATTAAGATCTAGCTCGATGATCCCTTTCTGAGCCAACTTCATGATGAGATCTTTTAGCACAAAGCACTTTTCCGTCGGATGACTAATGAAGCGGTGGAATTTGCAGTACCTTGGACTGTCAATACGGTTCATATCTTCTGGCCGTTTGCACTCAGGTAGGTCGATCACCTTTTTGTCAAGCAAGTCTTTCAACATGGCAACCACGTCAGAGTCGGGGAATGGATAAGTCTTCTCCTCAAGCTCCTTCAAAGTGCGTCTACGTGTCTCTTGATCACGAAAAGCTTCGGTTTGAATCGCCTTGCTTCGTGTAGGGATTTTGACTGGAGTTGTGTTGACCGTCATTGCTTCCTTGGTGGGTTTCCACGTAGCCTTATCCACCTTTGGCCCCAAAACTTTGTCATTCTTGTAGTCGGCGGTCTGTTCTTTCTTCCCATGACGGTTGATGCTTAACTCCATATCATGGGCGCGGGTGGCTAACTCCTCAAATGTTCGTGGTTTGATGCCTTGAAGGATGTAATGTAGTCCCCACTGCATGCCTTGAACGCACATCTCAATGGAAGAGGTTTCAGAAAGCCGATCTTTGCAATCCAGACTTAAAGAACGCCATCTATTTATGTAGTCGACGACAGGTTCATCTTTCCACTGTTTCGTGCTGGTCAGCTCTAACATGCTTACAGTACGACGAGTGCTGTAGAAACGGTTGAGGAATTCCCTTTCTAGCTGGTCCCAACTGTTGATAGACTCAGGTTCGAGGTCAGTGTACCAGTCAAAAGCGTTACTTTTCAGTGAACGCACGAACTGTTTAACGAGGTAGTCTCCCTCTGTCCCAGCATTGTTGCAAGTTTCAATGAAATGGGCGACATGTTGCTTCGGGTTGCCTTTTCCATCGAACTGCATGAATTTTGGGGGCTGATAACCCCTTGGCATCTTCAAAGCATCAATCCTCTTGGAGTAAGGCTTTGAGTACAGTATGGAGTCATGCGAGCTTCCTTCGTACTGTGTCTTGATAGTGCTTGCGATCATCTCCTGTAGCTGCTGGATAGAGAGAGATCCCATGGATGTCGTGGCTTGGTCTAGCTTCGGCTTCTCTTCGACTTTCTCCACTGGTGGCTCCTCCTCTTCGTCGCCTTCTTTCTTTAATAGGCCAACAATTGGGTCGACTTTCACGTCGAGCTGCGCATCTAGTTGGTTGACGAGTGCGGTAATCTGCAAGTCCTTCTCTTCCACAGTCCGTGTGAGCTTTGCAATTGCTTCATTCATCTGAGCTAGCTGCTCCTCGATTGAAGTTGCTCCAGTGGTCATGACTTGCATGGTTGTACTGCCGCTCGAATCAGCGTCGGAGAGTAGGGACTCTGAGTATTTCCTTGGGCTCTCCCCTTTTGATGCCCTTAGCGAGGCTAGGGTGATCACAGGCTCGTACCTCAGGTGCTCTTGTTCCTTTGACAGAGTTAATGCAGGGGCGGAAGCCGCGGCAGAAAGATCTCTTGCCTTACTTCGGGTTATGATGCCCGAAATATCACCACTTGCGGCGATGATGTTCTTGTTCTTTGCTTTGATTGCAGGAACAGCTTGATCCTTTCTTGATGCCATTTGCGTTTTTTGATGATTTGAGGATAGAGATGAGAGGTAGAGATTGTCCCACTGGGCGTGCCAAATTTGTAAACACGGATAAATTCCTGAAACAAGCGACAAGAATACGTGTACAAAATAATATTTTGTATTAATGATTTTGGGGTTACAATCTCTTTGTAATTTGGTCCTCTGATTCTATCTTCGTAGGGTGTGGGTTTGTGGATGAGTTGTTGATCCAAAGGGCCGTCGGGGCTTGATCTAAGGATGCACAGCTGATGAATGGATCTTCAAGGGGCGTTGGGCTTGATCTTGAAGGTTGATGGATGAACGGATCTTCAAGGGCTTTTGGGCTTAATCTTGAAGGATGAACGGATGTGTGGATTTGTTGAGGTTGTTGATCCAAAGGGGCCGTTGGGGCTTGATCTTAGGATGAACGGATCTTCAAGGGCTTCTGGGCTTAATCTTGAAGGTTGATGGATGAACGGATCTTCAAGGGCTTTTGGGCTTAATCTTGAAGGATGAACGGATGTGTGGATTTGTTGAGGTTGTTGATCCAAAGGGGCCGTTGGGGCTTGATCTTAGGATGAACGGATGATGAGCGATGAACACTTTCTTCAAGGGCCGTCGGGGCTTGATCTTGAGTTGGTGGAAGTTCTTCAAGGGCGTCGGGGCTTGATCTTGAAGGTTGATGGATGATGAACGATGAACGGATGTGTGGATTTGTTGATCCAAAGGGGCCGTTGGGGCTTGATCTTAGGATGAACGGATCTTCAAGGGCTTCTGGGCTTAATCTTGAAGGATGAACGGATGTGTGGATGATGAACACTTTCCTCAAGGGCCGTCGGGGCTTGATCTTGAGTTGGTGGAAGTTCTTCAAGGGCCGTCGGGGCTTGATCTTGAAGGTGGATTTGACGAAGAACGAAGATTGCTTTCTTGATCCTTCGGGATTTGCTTGAGAGCTTTAGAGTTTCAAGGCTTCTTTCTTTCTTCCTTCCTTCTTTTCTTCTTTCCTTTCTCCTTCTCCTTCCTTCTTTTTTTCTTAAATGAATGCATTGGCCTCCTATTTATAGAATTTCAAAACTTGATTTTTGGATTTAAATAATCAGATGAAATAAGTCATTTCTGCCAGGTATTGACACGTGTCATATTTGATGACTTTTCCAATTTATTTCGATTTTTCGTTGAATCACACGCTACATATAAAATTTATGTGACACGTGAACATTGAAATTTTAATTATTGGTCAACATTCATTTCACCGAAATTTTGATGTCTACAGTTTTTTCCTACATTTTTATATTTGGATCTCTCCATGTAACATACTTGTTATATTTATTTGCTGAAGTGTGTAATTTTAATAGTTTGGAGGCTTGTTATATTTATGGTGTGTAATTTTAATATTTTGGATTTGTGTATTTTTTTTGTTTTAATAATTTGGATTTGGGTATTTTTGTTTTTAATATTTGTGTAAGCGTAATGTTTATTGAAAATTTGTGTTACGGTAGATTATCTATTTTTCGTTAAATATAAAATATCGTTGTATAACAAAAAATCATCATATATCATAGTCCCCTCATACTTAAACTGCTTTGTGTCTTATTATGGGTTCCTCTCTATCGAATCTTCTGCACTTAAAAAAACCAATAGAATTTTCTTCGGATAATTTTTGTGAGGATTTCAGAATTCTTTAATCGTATCCTTTTATCATATATTATGCAGTTAAAAATCATTTTAAATTTTTTATTTAAAATTAAATAAAAATAATATCTGATAAAAATTAACTGCATGATATACGATAAACAGACACGATTAAAAAAATTTCGGAATCCTTACCCAGTGGATCCTCATTCCTAAGAAAGAATGTGGCCTCTCCAATCTTGGAGTAATTTTTCAGTGTGCCGGGAACACCATGACACGTGGTGTTCCCTCACACATAAAAATTCAAATTTTGAATATACTTCAATTTTTTATTTCAATAAATAAATAAATTTGAATTTTTATGTGTGAGGGAACACCACGTGGCATGGTGTTCCCGGCACACCTAAAAATTTCTGCCAATCTTGTGAGTTGTGACACTGTCCACTGACCTAACTCAACATGATACTGTCTAACTCAAAGTCTCTCTGTCATAAACCTCGACGCTGTCATCAACCTCGACGCTGCCATCTTCATCTCCAAACTGCCGCGATTGAAACCCAGAAAAGGAAAGCCACGCTCCCATCCCACCACCACCACCTCCAAATTCCGGCGACCAGATAACTCTGCAAAATCCTCTGCACTAAAAAAGGACTGTTCTACTAAATCCTCTCCCAAATTCCGATGAAACTGACGGCGAATGCGAGCGAGAGTTCGAAGCCTTCACCTCCTTTTTATTCTTCGCGTTCTCCATGGCTTCTTCTTTGAACGCTCGAACGTCTACAACTGCAAGCGATTTCTACAAGGATTTGCAGCAATCCCTTCATTGTCAGGTGGGTCACCGCCGCGATGCCTGATTCAAGAAGTTGAGGTTCGAAAACGGTGCTCTCGCTGAATCAATTTCATCGATTTTGTTCCTAATCTTGTAAATTTGTTTAATTTGTGATTGAATGATTGGGTTCGGAATTATTATCCTCTGCAAATTTGTAATTTTATTTTATCTATTACATTCGCACTCTTGTAAACCACGGAGAGGCCACTTGGAGGTGGTTCAACAGCCAGGTGACCGCAGAGTGAAGGCTCAGCCCCCCTCCGTTGCCTGAACCCCATTATGAGGTGCTGTGAGTTATGCAATTCGATCGAGAAAGCTCCCGTTTGGAATTTCAATTAATTATTTAATCAATCAATTTTCTTTTGTTTTGTGTTTTTAGATCATCTGAAAAATGTTGCTGATGTTTGTTTGGATTGTTGGTTTGTGAATTTTTGAAGGAAAATTGACTGATGTTGTTCTTGGATTTGACTTTGTGGAGCCCTATGTGGTAAAGATCTTTGATTTTTGGTTCGCATCCGCCGTCGTTGTTGTTGGTGTTCCGCATCCAAGGACAGAGAGAGAGTGATGCTCGAGGAGCACTCACGTTCTGGACGCTTGGGGATTTTTTTTTTATTTTTTATTTTTTTATTTTTTACAATGTGAAGGAGATAACAACAATTTAACACTGTTAAAATGGTGGACAGATGTCACAAACCTATTAAAGCCACAGAGATGCCACATCTATTTGGGTGATACAAATACGTGGTAATAGTAGATTTTTGCTTATTAAACGGCTGCTTGTTTATCCTACTTTTCCTTAAGATTTCTGGTGTATCCTACTTTTTCTTGCAAGCAAGAGTGCTGTCTCGTGTCTAGCATTCGCAATGTCGCATTTTGCCCCTGAAGAAATCAAAGGCTCGCACGGTGGCCTCTTCTTGCTGCTAACATCAACGGACTGTATCCATCGGCATCAGAAGCACATCAGAGCCCCTGCTTATCAATGTATGAACAAAATCTGTGGGGCCGTGTTGTGCTGCCTGATGTAGAGTCCCATAAAACTCAACAGGACTATCAGGTACCTTTTGAGGTGCAGCATTCTTAAACAACAACTTTCAAATTCTTCACAGTTTTGATTTGTATCGAATAGTTCCATTACTGCCTGACCACGTTTATCTGCAGTTTTATGTCAGCCCCAGTGTCGATAAGCAATTTGAAAGTTTGTAGGTAACCGCCCTCTGCAGCTATCATGGCAGCTGAGTATCCCTTTTCATCTTGCTCATTGTGATCAATGCCTGCCCCCTCAATCAGTTTCTTCAAAGCCTCAATACCCTTTGCTTGACTCACAAGCATTAGAGGAGAAAATACTGATGTATCGCTTGATTGAACCATTTCACCGGATCGAATCACATCTACAAGACTACAACTGCTTGTCGGAAGCCAAGAGCCCACCTTGCTGACTCTGCTATTACGCTTGCACTATGACCAGCAGAATTCACCAGGCCAAAATCAGCACCGTCTGAAGCCAGAATTTTAAGGCTTCCTGGTGTTTATATCTAGCACAGATCATTTGTGCAGTTTGTCCAGATTTTGTCTGAGAGTTGGTATTGCACCCGGCACCAATCAATCATTGGAGAATCTTATTTAATCCAAGTCGTGACACCATGTGAACGGGCCAGTCAGTTTCTGGATTTGTTGTCTTAATTGGAACTTCTACATGTGCACCACAATTTAACAGAACCTCTACCGCTCTTTCATTGTTACATGATGAGAGTCCTCCCAAAGTGAGGAATGTTCGGAGAGTGGTGTTGCAAGAGCTTGCGCAAGATAACACTGTTGGCTTCAAAATACTCCACAGCACACCAGGTCGCTCTGTAAGCCTCGGCTAGTCCTGCACCCACCCGAAACTCTTCTCCTGTATTTACATCCCAGGACCAGCCTCCAAGGCTCACTTTTATATCTGTTGTGGCTCCAGCCTGTTATTTCGTTCCAAAAGGTACGTAACATTAGATAGGAAGTGTGTAACTATAAGGGTATGCATACTAGCCAATGAGTTAGGGATACACCTGCAAGAGGAGTCTGGCAACAGAAATTTGCTGGCTAACAATGGCGGAAATAAGCACATTACAGTAAACATTAGTGTGTAGGAATGGCTTAGATGATTGAAGCGGCGCCCTGTCAGTTGCATCTGCATCCACCCCACACTGCCACCAAGAAATAGTATCACTGTCATGGAACAAGAGTTAAATGTTCCAAGCAATTAAAACACACACACATTTCGGTGATGGCAAGTTGGCAACCTTGATTGTACATCACACTTATTTATGTTGAAGCATACTTTAAGGCAATCGTAGGCTCAGCACAACTCCTCATAGGTTAGAAAAGCGCTTTCAGCACAAGCGCTTGCTAAAATTTAAAACCGTAAAGGAATTTTGATTAATGTATGATGTTAAAAGACTATGTCACCTTGATAAATGTGTCAACTACATCAACGAAGCCTCTGGAGCAGGCAGAAACAAGAGCATGCATAGCCGCCTGAGGCATCATGTCGGACCCCATGAGCATCTGTGCGGACCTAGCCCTGGCCAAGTAGCTTGCCTCCAACAGAGCCTTGTCGCATGCCGGCTGAGATGCACTGCTTTTGGTAAGCACCTCCAATATCTCCAACTGCCCCTCCCTTACTGCTGCATTTATATCTTACTCGTAAAAAATGATTTTAGGCCGCATGTTATGCCAGGGTTATGAGGAATTTTCAGCAGCAGTGATTATGATTAAGGCTTTTCGAAGCAAATGCCAAAAACCTTAATGAGCATCATACCTGCACCGTATCCAAAGGATATTGAACACCAGGAAGAACTTGTTTCCTGTTTGAAAAAGAAATATGCAGACCAATCTCGAGCAACTAGACACATGATTCCGAGAGGTACGAAATTAGGAATACAAATTGGTTGATTGGGCAAAAAGGAAGGCAACCCAGATGCTATTCAACAATCAGAATCCAGAATTAACATCCCATTTATAAAAACAGGGCAAATTGATAAGATTTCACAGTTCACACCTTTACGTTCCCAGCAGCCGTCTCCCAATGTCCATCAATTCCGCCACAGATTTATCGCCATTTTGAACGAACTCCAAAATCTACAAACCCAAACACATTAAACAAGAACGTTTCCTTTACAAAACCCATTACCGAAATCCGATCAAAGTTTGTAAATTTAAACAAAAGATAAAGTTTTGGAGCAAAAAACACACCTGTGTGGCTATGAGAGCTGCAGCTTTTGGGTGATTGATTGAGCCTCAACCCGCGCGCAAGACGCTTTTGTGCTAAGAACCCAGCATTGTTTAGGTTCAGTTTCTCAGCTTCTCGTGGAACCACCTTCATTTCTGCAGTCCGTACTCTCAGTGGCAGATTTAGGATTCTCACATTGGGTGGTTAACCACCCAATGTAAAACATCCAAAAAAAGAAATAAACGATAAACTTACAAAAACTAAATAATAATATTTTTCATTCATAAATCATGGTAAAAACAAAGCTAGGTCATCATGAATAAAATCCCTTCTTCTAATTTGTAAATACTTGCCACTTAATACTACAGTCTAGTGATATTCTTCTTCACTTATAAGTGAGGTTTTAGGTTCAATTCTCGTCAAATGTGAAATTGAACCACATTATTGCTAGCCTATTATGAGACTATCGATTGTTCAAAAAAAAAAATTGTAAATACTTTGATAACTTTTCACAATTTTAGGGAAAAAGAAAAAAAAAGTTTTTCTTTTGTTAAATCGAAATAAAGGTAATGGTTCCTATTAAGATCAGGTAGGATTATTGTATTAGTAGAGATAGAGTACACAATTCAAGTAAAACTTATTTCTATGAAGAAAAAAAAATGATTTATATGTGATTTACAAAATACGGAATTCTTAACACATAAAATAGGATTCACAATAAAAACCGCACATCTGACCATTTCACCTAATAGAAATTTAACCACATACACACCCAAAAAAAAAAAAAAAAAAAACCAATTAGAGATTGTAAAAACTAAAAATAAAATAATAAGAAATAGAATAATAGATGAGAAAGTGCTTTTTAAAAGCAATATTTTAGTAGCAATGGTAGGCCCATGTAGCAGATAAAAGAAGAAAAAAAAGGAGTTTCAGCCTTCTTCCTCGCGGGAAAGCTACAACTTCTCTACCTCCTCCATGGATGCACTGCACCAGAATTTTGATTGTACCACGGTCCATCCATAACTGTCATTTAACAAAATAAATTTCCTAGGCGTAGCCCATATAGTCCTAGGCGTGAATCTGTCCTTCCTATTGTAATATTTGGAGGGTCACCGAAGGATCTTCATGGGCGTTTTTCTAGCATCCGGTGGTCCGAGGACCACCTTGGTCCTTATGGATCCGCCCCTGCTTACTCTCAAGTCGATGCCTGCAACTTTCAAAGAAATAGTATTTTGTTTGTTTTTGTTTTGTGCAATTTCTTATCTTTTGGCGGCGAAATTGAAGAAGGTGGATGATGGTACTTTTGCACGGACACAGCTGGGTCCCTGGGACGTTTGCTGACTGAGGTGGGACTTTCTTTTTCTTTTTCTTTTTTGGTCAGAAAGGTGCGACTTTCTTTCTGTCCTTTGGGTAAATATTTTGTTTACTGAGATCAAAGATGTTGAGGGCTATATTACTTTTCACACGAGGACCACCATCCAGTGGTCTTGGGTTTGTCTCTGGAGATCAAAGATGTTGAGGACTATATTGCTATAAACCACCAAATGAGTGCGAATATAAACCCTAAAAATTGAAAACAATAAGCGGTATCTATTTGGTTGTTGCAGCAAGATATGACCGTCATGATCAAGATGGGGAAGAAATTAGAAGGAAAAAAAAAACACTTGGTAAAGTTGGTCCTTTGACTTTATATATCACTTAAAATCTAGCTAATAATTATTAACTTTTGTTTTGTTTTATTTTTAGTATTATAAATAGAAGATTTTTACTTAATTTGTATTCAATATGGGTACAAAAATTGCTTAAGTGGTAACAATACATATATGTTTATATGCACGTATATATATGCATACATAATTTGTATGCCTATGCATATGTACATAAATATATATTTATGTACCGATATATATGCACCTATATATACATTTGTGTATCTATACATATGAAACCTATGTATATATGTTACCTATATATATGCACCTATATGTACATTTGTGTACCTATACATATGAACCTATGTATAGTGACCGGGTGGAGCCGGGTGAGCCCCAGCTTGGCTCCACGTGATTGCCGATGTGTAGAACTTCATGTGTGACCCATAAAATTAGGTTTCACGTGCGGGGAGTGTTAGAATTCCTCTGTCCCACATCAGCCAGAAGGCTTGAGAACAAGCCCTTTAAATAGAATTACCCCACTCTAACTAACACCGAGGCATTTTAGATTAAAACCCCACACCGGACGGATTAAGCAGGTGGTTAAGTGGGGACAATATCGGTGTTGTTGGAGTGGGCCCTCTACTTGAAATTTAACATGGTATTAGAGTCAGGGGACGGGCTCGTACTACCACATGAACTGGTGGGTCCCCTTTGGCCCCGCACGAACGGGTGAGCCCCAACTTGGCTCCACGTAGGCCAAGAGATGCCACGTGAATTGGTGGGTCCCCATTGACCCCTCGCGAACGAGTGAGCCCTAAGTTGGCTCCATGTGGTTGCCGATGTGTGGAACTCCACGTTTAACCCATAAAAATGGGGTCTCACGTGTGGGGGAGTGTTGGAATTCCTCTGTCCCACATCAGCCACAGAGCTTGAGAACAAGCAATTTATATAGAATTACCCCACTCTAACTAACACCGAGACGTTTTGTATTAAAACCCCACACCTGACGGATTGAGCAGGTGGTCAATTAGGGACAATATCGATGTTGTTGGAGTGGGCCCATGGCCCGTTTACCTGAAATTTAACAGTATGAAGAAGAAAGAGTCAAGGGGAAAGGTAGCAAAGTAATGAAAAACAATCAATGAGATAGGAGAGAGAATAAAAAAATCTTAATTTTTTTTTTGGGTTTTAATCACAAATGGTTTCTGAGATTAATTAAACTCATCATTTTGGTCTCTTACTTTCAAAATCAATCAATGTCGTCCCTAACATTCACTACCTCACATCAATTTGGTCATTCCGTTAAGATTCTGTCAACTATTCTATTAGTTTGTATGTGGGACCCACAAATCCAATCAAATGGTGACACATGGATTACACAAAATAAGGGGTTTTATCGCAAATGATCCCTCACATTGATCCAACTTCTCATTTTGGTCCCTGAGTTTCAAAAATCGATAAATTTGGTCCCTAACTTTCACTACTGCGCATCAATTTATTCCTTCCGTTAATGTGGTCTCAATAAATTGTATGGCTCACCATGGATTAACTATAAAAAACTATTTTTTTAAGAGTGAACCAAAAGAAGAGTATTCTGCGCTAATATTTTTCTTGCATCCCACAACCCCAATTGGAAAAAAAATTCAATCTAAATTCGATTTTCGTCAAAGACGAATTTGAACCACACTATTGCATCTTATATAAAAACGGCTAGTGTTGATGTGTTATGTATATATTTTCTTCTCTGGCATGTGTGACCCTTAATCTGTACATTGTATTGTAGAGGAGATTATGAATTCATTGTCTGATATGTGTGAGTAGTATCATGTTAATATTGGAGACATATGTGTAAGGCTTGTGTGATCATCTTTATATTGAATTTGAGATGATTATTTATTGTTGTGAATCATACTCAAGTAGGAAAATATTAGAGTATGCGAGTGATTCATACGGTTTGGTAATAATCCTTGTTGTCTCAGATTGCTATAAAGAAGTCTTAATATGTTTATGAGAGTTAATTCGACTTTGGTTTGGATTGAAACTCCGTGTTGATAATCTTAAGAATAGGACTCATACTTGTGTAAGGAATGCAGTCTTGTATTCCTTGTAGGATTGTTATAGGGCAATCCAGGTCTTGTAGTATAAAGCCACAAGCCCCTGCTCTCACAAAACGCGCTCTTATTGTTCCAATTACTTATAAGTTGGAGAGTATTGAGTTTTGTAGAGAGGAGAAGGTTGTGTGCAGGTTTTCATGTCTACATGTATGTGTTGGCATAATTGCTGCAGTTCTTACACTTGTATTATGCATAATTTAAGGATTGTGATTTAGTTGATTAATCCTTGTGTTCTTGGCTAGTGTATTAATCTTTCTGAGTCTAGTTTACTCCTACAGATCAGAATTGTGAAACTCGTAAGAAAATACCACGAAACACCCTATAAGACCTAATATAAAATAAAGAATATAGTACCTGGATGTCATATCGATCTCCAACGGCCAAACAATTGTCGATTGCAGCATGAGTGCTCCCCAGTCCTCGTGCAGCTTCAGTCCCATTGCCCCAGCGCTTACTATATCATGTATTCCTTCAGGCTTGGCGGTGCTCCCCTAAAGTAAGCCAAGGATATTACAGAAAAATGAAGAAATATGTAAGAGGGACAGCTTTAGCCATCACTTCACATTTTGTAAAATGGTAGTAACAGGTTTATCGTTGAATGTGGGCATAGAGTACGGAAGAAAGAGGAGAGTTTAGGTACAACAACAGTTTAAGCATACCTTCCCCGTAAAGCCAAAATTTAGAAGGCAGGTCATCAGTTGTTTGCAGCATTAACATCATTTGTAATGGGGCTGTTGTTCAAGTTGTTGCACGAGCTCCAGTAGCAGGCCCTGTTACACATTATTTTTTTTTATTTTTTAACATTCACGTGGGTTCACATTGACTTGTAACGTCTAGTCATTGTTCATGTGGACGCCGCGTCATCAGTTAACGGAGATTCTGACGAAAAACTTAACGGATGCGTGAAAGTGTCTCAGAATTATGACTTTAGATACCAAATTGGGACAAAAAAAAAAAAAAACTTGATGTATGAAATGTTTAAAACTAAGAAATTTCATACTAGTAAACTGAAATTAATCCTATGTTTTTCTGCAAGGCACAGTAAATGGACCGTTGGTAAATTT